CTTTCCGTCTTGCTATATAAGGGCCTTCAGCCATGGATACATATATCATTATTCTTCCTGGTGCCAATTAGATAAAGCCCCTCGCGGGGCTCATGCTAAGGTAATTACCACAACTGAGATCCATACAGCGTGTTTGCGAAAAAGGTTTATCCTATTCGAATAGTTCCTTCTGTTACGTAACACTTAAGCTTTGACTTCAAACACCAAGAATCATACATTGAAAGACGCTCACTCGAAAATGTTTATTCTCTTTCAGAAGCAAGTTGGCATCGCCGTATAATATGCATACCTGCCAACTTTTACGCATTTGGCGTAAAATTTTATTTTTATATTTAAAGTGGTAGTAAATATATATTTTCTTTAATTTTATAAACTTAATTTTTAAATGATTTTGATCACCACTATTCTTAAAAAAAACTAAGCATATATATTAATATGTGTTACTACCATGGTCGTCAACTTAAGCTTTTTCAAATACAACGCATTTTTTTGCTTAAAATTGAAATTTTAATTCCATTTTAATACCACTGGAAAAAATCATAATGGAAGGGATTAAAAGTTGGCAGGTATGAACATGTATAGTTCGTTCACCAGGAGTTGGCACTTGGCTCCACCTTCATCACGAGGTATCGGATGATACTATTTCGCTATTTTGGGAAGAGGGATGTGAACAAGGCTGCTATTTGGCAATCGTATGACAAAAATATTTGTTTCGCAATCTTCATGTGTATATTTTGAACATGTACATTTTATTTCATAAACTTGTTGATATTACTCTCTTTTTATTGAATAGTTTGTTCCTTTTGTTTTGCTGGGAAAAAGTTTTTAAATATAAATTAGCTAGAATAACGAAAGGTATAATAGCTGATGATGAAGCGAAGTAAGTGACTGAAAAAGAATTCACTGTTTGTGTTTGGCCATCATCTTCTACATCAGAAAGTCTCCACACGGTTTCCTATAAGTAGTCTGCGCAGACTACTTAAAATGTGAACAGTTTGAGAGCATGAAACCAAATTCTATTTTAAAAGTGACTGAGAGGAATTTGTCATATATATTTGAGAATTGAATATGTAGTGGTAGACAAGTAAACAAGACCAACTAATCATATTCAAAAATTAAGTAAATTTTTAGACTTATATTTGTTACCACTTTTTTTATTTTTACTAGATTTTCTATTAACACGTTCACGCCGGGAAAAGTGAAAATACTGGTGCGGGAAAAGAGAAAATACAAGTAGAAGAACTATTTCAATGTTAGATAATATTCTGGAGGAGTTAATCTATTCTCAACAATAGCAATTCACTGTAAGAAAATTTATCACGGTGAAGAAGCAATTCAATATGAAAATTGCATCCGTTAAAAACAATTGGTAGTTATGGATTTTTATTATTCCAGGAAAAAAACTAAAAATTGAAATTTATTGTTACCAGTTTTTACTCCGCTGAGCTGCCAAGATGAGACAATCTAGCGTGACCCACCGGTGGGTCACCCCGGCGTGAACGTGTTAAAGGGCTCTTTCGTAAACTGGTTTGCCTTCATAGTTGTCTGATTGGACTACATATAAAATACCGTGAGGAGACTTTGCGAGCATTAGTTACCCAACTCATGATTTTAGTATTTGCTGATTTCATTTCATATGGAAAAGTAAAAGGCCCCTTCGGGGCCTAAACGCCTTGATAAAACAGAGACGACGACGAGCATTAGAGGTTATCTCGATTTCAAGAGGGGAAATGTTTTTCCTCTTACTCCCCTGAGCTGAAATGAACTCTGCGTCCGAGGAGGTGGAGCCAAGGGCCTACTCCTGGTGAACGAACTATAGTAACTTTTGTACCACTTTCTGTAAAAGTTTTAATAAATTGGCAGCGAACGAACAAGGTGGTTATCTGAAATAAGAACGTATTTTTTTCCCATTTTACAAACGCCGTTATAATGCCGACCCAATTTTGGGTTTACGACTACTAATCCATTCCAACGACTACTAATTCAACTCCATAGCCTTGTAGTTTTGAACCCAATCCAAAAGACAAGGGAATTCCTGGATCAAGTAAGGGGAAAAATTTGCCTTCGTGGAGGACTTTTTGATGGAACTAACCAACATTTGCATTACATGGAGAGGAAGAGCACGAGAACCTCCGGCGGGTAACCTAACGGCAAAAGACTATAACCCATCATCCCTCTACCACTGAGGATATTTCAAGTCAGCACTGTGGTCGGTGCAAGACGGATGCGGAATTCATATCGACCTTCCATCGCTGGAATTCAAACCTGGTTCACCTCATTGGAAGGCAGTTCACCTCAGTAAAATAAGAACATATACAGCGATCTGTACAATCATAGTGAAAAGTTTCCTAGCAATTTTTTTTAAAAAAGCAATAAAATGCGATTTCGCAGGATTTTATAAAATTTTTAAATTTGAAAACCTGAAGAAAAGAAAAGAAATCTCAGCACAATGACTGCTTATTTTTGTAGCGAGCATCTAAATCTAGAAAACAAAATATTTAATTTTTTTTTCTCTTCAATTTGCTTTCCAGTTACCAGAAGCACCACCTTAAAGTTAAAAATTCAAGATAGATAGGAAAATGGTCGTAAATAACTTCAAGCACTCAGATAAATGATGATGTATAGAAAGTATAATTTTAAAGTGAAAGTTAATTAAAAGAAATTCGCAAAATTTTTCGAAAGCTAAGACCCCTTTTTGAATTTTCGAAGGACAGTGAGAATCCTTTTTATATTCTGAGCATTAGTAATCGTAAANTGCGTCCGAGGAGGTGGAGCCAAGTGCCTACTCCTGGTGAACGAACTATAGTAACTTTTGCACCACTTTCTGTAAAAGTTTTAATAAATTGGCAGCGAACAAACAAGGTGGTTATCTGAAATAAGAACGTATTTTTTTCCCATTTTACAAACGCCGTTATAATGCCGACCCAATTTTGGGTTTACGACTACTAATGTTCAACTCCATAGCTTTGTAGTTTTGAACCCAATCCAAAAGACAAGGGAAATCCTGGATCAAGTAAGGGGGAAAATTTGCCTTCGTGGAGAACTTTTTGTTGGAACTAACCCACATTTGCGTTACATGGAGAGGAAGAGCACGAAAACCTCCGGCGGGTAACCTGACGGCAAAGGACTATAACCCCTCATCCGTCTACCACTGAGGATATTTCAAGTCAGCACTGTGGTCGGTGCAAGATGGATGCGGAATTCATATCGACCTTCCATCGCTGGAATTCGAACCTGGTTCACCTCATTGGAAGGCAGTTCACCTCAGTAAAATAAGAAGATATACAGCGATCTGTACAATCATAGTGTAAAGTTTCCTAGCAATATTTTTTAAAAAACAATAAAATGCGATTTCGCAGGATTTTATAAAATTTTTAAATTTGAAAACCTGAAGAAAAAAAAGAAATCTCAGCACAATGACTGCTTATTTTCGTAGCGAGCATCTAAATCTAGAAAACAAAATATTTAATTTTTTTTTCACTTCAATTTTGGTTTCCAGTTACCAGAAGCACCACCTTAAAGTTAAAACTTCAAGATAGATAGGAAAAGGGTCGTAAATAACTTCAAGCACCCAGATAAATGATGTATAGAAAGTATAATTCTAAAGTGAAAGCTAATTAAAAGAAATTCGCAAAATTTTTCGAAAGCTAAGACCCCTTTTTGAATTTTCTAAGGACTGTGAGAATCCTTTTTATATTCTGAACTATGCTGTTTCTGCAAACAAACTCTAATACTGAAATCTTTGTACTATTCTATAAAAAATAGAATTGTCCGAATAAAAAGACGCTTGGCATAAATAATCTCAATTGGAATAATATATCATTTTTTCAAGGTCATCAAGTTATCATAACGGAATTAATTCGATAAATAACCCGCCAAATTACAGCTAAGTTAACTACGATATGTAACAGCAAACTATAATCATTCCGTTATTATTGATTTAAAATCAAAATGAAAGAAAACTAAGGAAATATTCGCTAAATTTATTTCCTAGTATGCCAGAAGCAAATAAATTGAAACTAAATAATATATCACTTTTTCAAGGGCATCAAGCTATCAGAACAAAATTTATTCGATAAATTACCAGTGAAAATACAGCTAAGTTAACTACGATATGTAACAGCAAACTATAATCATTCCGTTATTATGAATTTAAAATCAAAAGGAAAGAAAACTAAGGAAATATTTGCTAAATTTATTTCCTAGAATGCTAGACACAAATATATTAAAACTAAATGATATCTCACTTTTTCAAGGGCATCAAGCTATCAGAACAAAATTTATTTGATAAATTACCAGTGAAAATACTGCTATGTTTGAGTAGATTAAAATAAGAAACAGCAAACTATAATCATTTCGTTATTATTAATTTCGAATCAAAATAAAAGAAAACTAAGGAAATATTCGCTAAATTTATTTCCTAGAATGCTAGACACAAATAAGTTAAAACTAAATAATAAAGCTCTTTTTCAAGGGCATCAAGCTATCAGAACAAAATTTATTCGATAAATTACCAGCGAAAATACGGCTATGTTTGAGTAGATTAAAATAGGAAACAGCAAGCTATAATCATTCCGTTATTATTAATTTAAAATCAAAATGAAAGAAAACTAAAGAAATATTCGCTAAATTTATTTCATAGAATGCTAGGCACAAATAATATGAAACTAAATAATATATCACTTTTTCAAGGGCATCAAGCCATCAGAACAAAATTTATTCGATAAATTACCAGTGAAAAAGCGGCAAGGTTTGAGTAGATTAAAATATGTAACAGCGAAATATAATTAATAGCATTATAATTAAAATGAAATCAAAGTGAGAAAAAAAAAAGAAGAAATGTCCGCTAAATTTAACCCTAAATATCTTCTTTATTGCAATAATACATCTCGTCTTTAATTCGAAATCAGGAGTTAAGAGAAGATTTAAGCATGTTTCAAACATAAGCAATTCAATTTTAGTATTGCGACAATATTAAATCGGTAGAAAGTGATAAATACCTTGAGCAGATGGGGGGCTATCTGTGTGGATGACATCAACAAAGACCGCATCATCCGGATCAAGTCGTACTCTGGGATCTGTATCCTCAAAGTAAGGACCAGCTGGATCCAGACCTGTATAGATATTGAACATTATGCAAAATTTATGCTAATAGGATAGTTTCAGTAATACATAAAATCTAAGTCTTAAAGCTTTTCTCACAAATCAGAAGCTGTAAAAGGATTTAAGATTCCCCTATTTTTTTTAGTGGAATGTTTTTTCTATAAATTTAGTTGCTTATAAATTGTTTTTTTATTTTCTCAAATATTTCAGTTTGTTGTTTTATATATTTCGTTATAAAAGTGCGAGAAAAGTGAGGAAGAGTTGAATGAGTATATTGTTTGTTAAAAGTTGTGCACATTATTTACAAAATAAAAGCATATAAGGAAAAGAAAATTAGGCCAAAAAATGCCATTATATTATTTTTCCAAAAAAGGCCCGAAATAATGTTAATGATAAAGTAATTATAGTAAAGAGAATTACTTTGTTCTCACAAAATACTGAAACACTAGTGCTTCTTTTCTTTTTTTTTTCTTNACAAAATAAAAGCATATAAGGAAAAGAAAATTAGGCCAAAAAAATGCCATTATAATATTTTTCCAAAAAAGGCCCGAAATAATGTTAATGATAAAGTAATTATAGTAAAGAGAATTACCTTGTTCTCACAAAATACTAAAACACTAGTGCTTCTTTTCTTTCTTTTTTTCGAAAAAAAAGAACAGTCATTTCTAAACAACGTTAGGCACAATCGCGGGGAACGTAGTGAAAGTATATAGCAAAAATATCATGTAAAGTCAATGCATACTTATTTATTGCACTAATTTGTTATTTTCTTCGAATCTGGAAATTACAGGGTTTTCACAATTCGTAACAAATTAAAAAATGACACAAAATTAGGAATTGAGAGACATTTTGATAATTACTTATTTACCACCAATTCCCAAATAAATATATGCAGTTAAGCAGTAGTAAAAATTTATTTTAGTAGTAGCTATGTTTATGCTTATGCATTATTTTTTATTCGTTTAAACTTATTTTAAACATCACTACATATATATGATTTAAAAGTTCATGATCGATGCCACTTTCTTCCATATTTATCGTGGTGACCCTTTTAAAATTTTGTCAAAATCACCAAAAATTTTGAGAGTTTGGGTTTAGAAATTACCACCACTCTATTTTGCAAAAAACATAGTAGTTGGCAGGCCTGGTAAAGAAATACGCCATTTCGTATTTATAATTGTTAAGTTAAAAAACAGAAATTTGTCACATTTTTATTACAATAATGACAAGATTGCAAGAACTCTGACTTAACATGTTCACGCCTGGTGTTGCGCCTGAAACCGGAACGGAAAAGATAAAATACTGGTAGAAGAACTATTTCAATATTAGATAATATTCGGGAGGAGTTAATCTATTCTCAACAATAACAATTCTCTTTAAGGAAATTTATCACGGCGAAGAAGCAATTCAATATAAAAATTGCATCCGTTAAAAACAATTGGTTTATGGATTTTTATTATTCCCGGAAAAAAACTAAAAAATGAAATTTATTTGTTACCAGTTTTTACTCCGGTGCGCCGCCCGATGAGACAATCTAGCTTGACCCACCGGTGGATCACCCCGGCGTGAATGTGTTAAATTTCATTTTTAAATGTTTTTTATTATCAGTCATAAAAACACTATAACATACAGAGATGTCAACTGCGGCGCTATCGGAAAAACTTTCAATAAAATTGTAGCGAATTAAAAAGTAAAAGTTCCGCCTACTCTTTAACAGTGTCCCAGGGCTGAAAATCGACATATATCGAGACCGAAAAGAGTAAAACTGGCAGCAAACAAATTTCATTTTTAGCCTTTTTTCGGCAATAATAAAATATCCATAACTATCAAATTTTTTTAACGGATACATTTTTTATATTGAATTGCTTCTTTCCCGAAAAAAAATTAATAGCAGAGAATTGATCATTGTTACGAATAGATTTACTTCTCCCGAAAATTATCTATTGTTGAAATAGTTTTACTACCAAATTTTTCTCTTTTCCGTCTCGCTTTCAGGTCTGAGTGTCACCAAGAGATAACTGAAAAAAAAGTTGCATTTCATAGGATACTTTGAACTTTTTATACGTATTGGAGGAAAAATTACTTAAAATGAAAAATACTAAACAAAAATTAAATTTCGCTTCAACAAGAACTTTTTTTTTACAAAGCGTAGCAAGTTAGCATCTCTGTTATATATTATAAAACCGTTGATAAATTATGTTTACAATCATAAAAATATATTGATGTTCTATCACACTTACAATAAACCTTTACAACCAGTCTTGCACCATTGCGCCGGCTTTGCATTAACCCAATGAATAAAAAGTGGTAATATATATATATATATATATANTATAAATAAAAACTTCAATTAATCTTTTTATGTTAGTTCTTTTCTGTAAATCCTTTTATTTCATTATTCTAATCGAAACGCTTTCTCACACTTTTAAATTCACATCCCGTCCATTAATCTATTTTTGGTTCAAGTATACACTATTTAAAATTAAAAAACATTTTCCCCTTTCCTCTTCGTGGGAATCGCGCGACCTATTTAATAAACCAATTGTAATTGCTGAGATTTCCCTTTTTCCCTAAAATATAATAAAATAGAGGGAAATTCATTTGCTACTTTCCCCAGGTTAAGAACTTAAGCACAGAGTTTTGGAGTGCGAATTTGAGCTCCGCCATTGATAGAAAATGTTTTGAATATATTATGTAAAGCTAAATAAAATATTTTTGCCTATATATGTTTAAATCATATTTAAACTGTGTAAAAAATTTCTTCTCTTAGCTAATATTTTAATTTCTAATTCCTTACAAACTTAAACATATATTTTAAAATTAATAATGTATATTAATAATGTATTTAAATTGGAAATTAGTACCTTTTATTACTTAAATTTATTCCAGTAACGAAATAACTCTCGCTTTTTGCGTTTTGCACTTTTTATATAACAGAAACAAGTACTTTCACATTACACCTGATCGTAAAAAAAGTATAAAATCAAACAAGTCATTTTCCAACAAAAACTTGAAAACCCTTGAGAATGCACTTGATAGAAAACACTTCATAGTTTTATTTCTAATTCATTCCAAACGTAAACATATATTTTAAAATTAATAATGTATTCAAATAGACAATAATTATATTTTATTTCTTAAATTAATCCTAGTAACGAAATAACTCTGACTTTTCACGTTTTGTACTTTTTATATAACAGAAATAAGTAATTTCAAATTACACCCGATTGTAAAAGGGTATAAAACCATACAATTTATTGTCCAACAAAAACTTGAAAACACTCGAGAAATGTTTTAATGTTTTCACGAGTTTTGATTAAAAAAAATAAGAAAATATATAAATATATATCTAAGTAAAAGCATGTCATTCAAAAGTAAAGAAAAAACAGTGAACAATCAAATAAAACTTGGATCTGATGTAGGACAGGCATAGTCAACTCAATTTTGCTTGATGCTGTATGCAATAATCTATAAATAGATCTCAAATAATAAAAAGAAATATATCCAATATTGACAATTTATGTAGTTCTTCTTTTCTTTATTCCATAACCGAAAATATTTCTCGACTTCTTTCGAAAATAGATTTTTTTTTGTCAAAACCGTCCTTGAATTCATTGATGTTTATTATAAAAGTTTTCTCAGAAAAGGGACAAAACCTTAAAATACATTTCTTTGGTAAATATTTGATATCTAAGTTTTCTTATTGTAAAAATCTAGTTGTGTGAACAATTGGGAAAGTTTGAATAAAAAAATTTACTGCAATTGGGGGTACATAAATAAAAATAATTTTAATTTGAAAATTTATTTACCGATGGTACTGTACCTCCTTCATACTTTCATAAAATAAAAAGGTGACAAAAAAAATTTTTCAGTATATATATTTAGGTGAAAGAACTAGGCTATTATAATAACAACTTAAATACAAAAATAATGGTATATTTATCTTTTAACCCAATAAACATGTTATTAAGTTTCACCACATTATTTTCATAATGAAAAAAATTTCCAAGGTAAATTTAAGGGGAGTCGGTAGGGCATATACCAATAATGCTAAAACTAACTTTTTTTTACCTTCCTTATCTCAGCATCTAAATAAGATATTACTTCAGTTTTTTTCACGGAATATTTACATATGCACGTTTGCACTGGGATAACTGTAAATAAATATCTTTGGCAGAAATGTTTCTTTTTTCAAAATTATGAAGTATGAACTTTTAGTTTTTTTAAAAGTTTCCTCAAAAATATTTCATAACTCAAAACATATTCCTGAAAATTTCATTGTGATATCATAAGTAGTTTTGTAGGAAAGGTGCACCGAAAAAGAGCTGTTTTAGCGTTACTGATATAGGCCATATATCAATATGGCTCATGGAGGGACAAGGCCTACTGTGCTCATCTCAGTTTTCTTGACCAAGGGCTCTGGGGTGCAGGAGCAGATGTTCCGGTTAGGTCGTCAGTCGAACACGGAAACTAAGTCAACCAGGCTGAGTCAACCCTGTCCGGCCCGAGGATCGAAACCAGGACCTGTGACATGGATGTTCGAAGCGCTGCCACTCAGCCACTGGGCATCTATAAGCCATGCCAACTGCTCTTAAATACTGATTGTACAAAAAGCAGGAAAATGGTCTCGAAAAATACTCTTCTAATCTGAGACTGGTTGACTCCTAACACGTGAGGCCAAGCTTGAAATTGGGGTAAAAGTTAATTTGATTATTTAAATTGATTTGATGTTTAATTTAATTTTAATTTCGATCATACTTGCCAACTTTGACGTTCTACAAAGAAGTATTTTCTTAGAGCTAGTTAAATGCAAGCTTAAAAAACATTGTATACAGACATTCAATTTTCCTTTATCGAACACTTACAGCACAATTATAATTCTTCAATTATTTAAATATAATGAAAGTTAAAATCAATTTAAACTTAATTTGTTTTTAAAAAATATAAAGTGTGATGAAATTTAGCTACCACATTAAAGATAAAATTAAAATCATTCATAAAATTCGGAAGAGTTGGGAGAAATGTGATAGATATTTTCAAATTGTCAAACACGTCTATTTTTATTTTTTCGATCATAAGATATTCACATTTTAAACAATTTGCACAATTCCCTCTTGCAATAACAGCGCCATCTGTCAACCAAAATGCGAAAATCTGTAGGTCAAACTTGGGTTCTTTTCTCTGGAAAATTTAAATTTCCTAAAAATAATGAGAATTCGCATTAAAAATTTTGAGATTATCCCCACATCACACCAGGGAATGAGGATGAGAATTCAAATTAGATATCAATGAATGCCTCTTTTAACAATATTTCAAGCTCAGCTTTTTTAAAATTTTCAATCAATACATTTTTCTTGAGATATTTGGCCATTTGTGTACTTTTCGAATATATTGTGTTTAAATCTGGAGGAGGCTTTTGGGTTATTATGGAGTTAGTATGACATAAAATAGTAGCATGTTCAGAGCAGTGGTAGAGTTTAAACGTAATTTTGCTATCACTTATGTCTTGGGTGTAACATTCAGGCTGACATCCTGTAATGAAATTAAGGTTGTACGGGGCACATTTTTGAATTTTTTTTAAAAAAAATGCATAGATTTTTTAAAATTTCTTGTGTTATTAATAAGAAGACAAAATTTGATCCCAAATCTTCTTCAAAATATTTTCAAACAATTATTTTTGAAAAAATTTAAAATTTAATATAACTGAATTATGATTCAATCTTAGCAATTTTAAATTTATATTTGTAGAAATTGTTTTAACCTTGATTTGCCTACAATACTATTATGATTAGAAAGGTTTCTAATTTTAAAAATGCATATAATTTCTCCTTATTATTATTTTTTAAATTTTTTGTTTAATTTGCAACATGATAATATATATATATATAAATATATATATATA